GATTAAAGTAAAACTATTTATTAATTCCTAATTGGATGTTAAATAATTGTATTTTGTTAAAAGCTGAAGGTACACGTTCTTTTTGTTCAACGAGGATTTTATTGCCATTTTGACTGCTTCTTAATCGAGTACTCAAACTGTTCGGACGTACTTTTCTAAATAGCAGAAAAGCACAAATAACTTTAATTTATTGTTAATTCAAGTTTATTGTTCATTTTATAATTTTGTTAACAAGTTCAAATACAAGTTCCTGAGTTTTATTTCATTTATCGAGTATTTATTGAAGTCAACTCGAGAAGAGCGTATCAGCGCTCCACGGGGATCCGAACCCTGCCTAAATTCTCAATTACAAATCTTTATAAAACGACCACGCAACACATGTAATAGGAAAGGAGGGTAAAGGTGAAGTTGACACTAATTGAAGAAGCGTGAATCCTGTTAGAGATCCTTTTAATAAACCCATTTTAAGATTATAAAATAATTAATATTCATTTATTAACGAATGTTTAAACATTTGCCAGTTGCCTTCGCCTCCTATCCTACCACTCAGAATCATTGCAGATATGTAAATCACTCGTTATCGATAACCGGGAAGAAACGCATCAACGAATCAGGATAAATCTTAGAAATTAATAATTATGGATTGGTCAATAGTAACTAAGGACATTTTGTAATTAAAGAAAAAGGTGTATAAAGAGAAATGAAAAGACATGCATTCCATTTACAACATTGTAACGGAAAGGACTAATATAATTACCTTTATAAATTAAACTCGTTGTTCTTTTTAATTAGTTTAAATCGTTTATCGTAATAGTTTAAATATAGTTCCAAAGTTTAATTTAAATCTCTATTGCAATTTATTATTATCGTTATAATTTCCTTTTATTTACAATTATCCATAAAGCTAACGCGTTTCACTTTTAAATTACATTGAGACTCAGGAATTCCCTGAGGACCACGCAACAAAATTGGTGACAGCGGTGGGATCCCCTTCAAAATCGTGGGAGAAATTACTGAAGAACTGACCATCTTGGATGCTGTTTTACTAGCTCGTGAACGCGAATCTAAGGAGTCATCGACGAATGTGTGCAGCCCCTCTTTCCTAGGGTTTTGGCACGGTTTTCCTTGGAACACGGGTGAATACCAGAGGAGGGTGTGTTCGGGTGGCCGTGCAGCTACTTCCCCGAATTCACATGTACTCAGCCAGATTTTCCTTCGTCGAGGTCTGGTGAAAATTTAACAAATACCTCTTATACACTTAATTAAGATACATACACGCTGAAAATTGCAGGGTATAAGTTACAAACTATTAAAAGTGGTTAGACTTACAAGTTAGAGTTACAAATAAGTTACAAAACTAAAAAACTCGTACTTTCGACTTATAAACCTGAAGATTTTTTACTACTTCGGTGCTCGTAGCTTCTTTGCTTTGACCGACGAATTTTGTTATGACTGGGCCCGATAATGGTGGCCTGACCTAGGTCACTCTAAAAGTCACCATCGGGTGTCGATCGAAAACGAAGAGACAGGAATACTGTTTCGTTGGACGTCGACTAGAATGGTCATAAAACCAGCTTTCGATTTCACTATTTTTATTAAGCAGAATTATTGATATATATACATAGATAGTAATGATATACTTAGTCATGGCAATAAAGAAACTGTAACATCGCAGCTTCACTTTTCTTTTTCTTAGATATATAAGTGTACAAGAGGCATATTTCAAATGTTCATTATAGGCTAAGATAAAAAAGTTGAAAAAAGTGTCTGTTACTATTTTTGTGCGTGTTTTGTCAAACATTTCCCTGTACATTGTGAAACAACTAATTACAATTAAATCATTAAAACTTAATTATCTAGACTAATCTTTAACTTCTCATAAACATTCAAATCATTTTATGGATAACTAGCTGACGTACCCGCTCTCGCGCGGGCAGTTTTATATTGCAAATCATATTTTAGTTCGTATATACAGACTAGACTGTAATATACCGTGAATAAATAAGCAGCATAGAATTTTGGATAGTGCAATATGAATAACAACGATTTGCGGCTTTTTAAACTTTTTTGTCTGCCTCAGCTCATCGTTAGCTAAAGAACATTGTCGCTTGACTGTTCCTTCGACTAACTTTGGCTAGCAGGAATAAATGGGCTGTTGAGCGCCGGGCGAGAGGCCAGCGACTGACGATCGAAATACAATGTAAACAGAAAAGGAATGAAACGCATGAATGAAAATTTAATCTTTTATAGTTTTCAGTATACATTCATTAAAGTGTCACGAATGAACTGAGGAGATTCTGTCGGTGGAAATGAGTCCAAATACGACATCATTCGGATTATTTTCAAGAATATATCAACATCTAGCGGCAGTACCCACAAATAAATGTTGTTCCCCGTTACCATCAAGCTGGGTTTGTGTATTTCCTACGCGAAGACAGTGTTGCCGGAA